AAAAGATATCATGAAATCAAAGAAACAATGCAGAAAAAATGTTACTAGATACATACATGCAAATTATTTCTAGATAAGGACAACTACCCAAGCCAAGTTTAGTATTTTTCCATATTAAGTAACATTTTAATTTTACAGGTTTTCAAAAGTAAGGTAAATAATAAATACAACTTTACTTTTGGTATTTATTCGAATTTTCTTGGAAAGGAAATGGATTATTTAAAATATATACATGCTTTTATGAATTTTTCATGAGGGAAGAGGGTGATGAGAAAACAGTAAAAAGCTGAATTACACATGAAGGATAATCTACTGGTAGAAAAAAAAAGAAAAAGCAGAAAAAAACTAGGTATAGTGGTACACGCCTGTAATCTCAGCATTTGGGAGGCTGAGGAAGGAAGACTGCCATGAGTTTGAGACCAATCTGGGCTACATAGTGAGTTCAAGGACAGCCTGAAGTGCATAGTGGGACCCTGTCTCAAAAAAATAAAAAGACAACAAAACCCAGGAAAACATCTAGTTATATCACAGGACTTATTATCTCAAGGCCAATTCTACTATAAAACATATGTTGTGTTCATAAAGAGAAATTTAAGAATGAAAAAAGTTGAAATTATTTTCTAAAATTGAAATAATCCCCACCAAGTATTAACATTTAGCTTCTAGCAATCCACACAAGAGAATGAAAAAAATTACTTCTATTATAAAAATCTTTACATCATTTATTTCAGGAAAGACACCTGTTCCTTGTCTTTTCATTAAGACTTCCTTCCCAAAGCTCAAGAAGACTTCAACGTGTGGACCCTCTTTCTTACTTTAATAAGAGGTTATTATTTCACCATCAAACTGACTTGGGAAACTACAAACACAAAACACACAACTTTATACTATTATCCTCTCCTGTGTCTTCTATAATTTTGCAATTATATTATACGTCAAGTAATTGTACTTCTGGGTTTTACTCTCCAAGTGTCAGTCACCCTCCCAGATTGTTCCTTCTCCAAGACGGATAGAGTTCAATTCTAAAGTCACTTTAGAATTAACAAACATATTCCATCAGATTATGTCCCAAAACATTCTAATATTTGGGTTTTTGAGATAGCCTAAACCTAACTGCATTACCTCTTTATCTTTTAGTCCCAGGAGCAATACTTCTTCCATAAGAGTGAGGCGGATGTCCTTTGAATCTCCAGAATCTTCATTATCTAGACCCCTCTCTGGATTAGTGTCTTCTTCAATTTCTACTTTCTTTTCAGAATTCTTGCTTACTTCTGTGCGACGGGTCCGGTGAGTTAATGTGGTCATTCTCACCTATTTCTGAAGGGAGTGTTGGAAAAAAAATATACTTAATTTACAAACTTAAATATATTGAGGAAGAAGTAATAACCAGGGGCTGAGGATATAGCTCAGTGGTAGAATACTTGCCTAGCATGCACGAACTCCTAGGTTCAGTCTCCAATACCAAAATAAATAATTGATGACCAGAAAAACTGAGTGTCCAACAAAGTATCATTCTCAAAGTACAACAGTTTAGACTCCAGAAATGGCAATGACAAGAGACCAAAGCAGTAATTCTAACATCCAGTAGAAATGATCATCTTTTAAGAGTGGTGATTTCTTGCATATAATCTATAAAGGAGGAATAAGTGTCCTCTGTTGTTTCTTCTCTTTCACAAAATGGATCCCCAAGTTATACAAGATGGAACAACAAAAAACTATGGGGACATAATGCACACTAGGTATAACTTCTGTAACATTCAATGATACTACATTATGAGACATACACAAAGAGCTGGGGTAGCATTTGCCAGCAAGCACAAAGCCTTGAGTTCAATTCCCAGCACCATAAAAAAATAAAATTTTAAAATGCACAAAATATAGAAAGTAAAACAGAACAAGAAAAAACTTAAACAGAAATATATGTTTTAATACTTTCTTCCCATACTTAGGGACTACTTTCATGCAGTCACTTTGGAGATCACTGACCTAGAGAATAACACTCAGAAAACTGAGTTGTAACTCCACGTAGGACACTTAGTGTCTCTCACCCAGCTAGTCATCTTGTGAGTTACAAATAGCTGACAACAAGAAAAACTAGCAGGAATGTTAAAAGATTAGCAAAGTTTTTCTCAATTTAAAAAAAAAAATGGCTGGGAGTGTACCTCAGTAATAGAGTATGTACTTAGCATGTGAAAGGCCCTGGACATACCCTAAGCACAGAAAAAAAAGAAACAGAAAAAAATCAAAACACATGTTCTTTTGTACCATGGACCACAGTTGTTTAAAAAATTCTAAATAATCAGTGATGAAGTTTAAAGTTAGTATATTTTATGCAAATCCAGATGTCTGTTTTTACAACAAACAATATAAATCAGCAATTATGTAAAAGACTATCTTTGAAATCAAAAGACAGTACCTTATGTTTCATCACTCTCAATATATACCGGTATTATATTTTTAAACATGTCTTTTCGGGGGCTGGGGATTTAGCTCAGTGGCACAGCGCCTGCCTGGCAAGCGCAAGGTCGTGAGTTCAATTCCCAGTACCAGGAAAAAAAAAAACAAAAACCCAAAAAAAGAAACAAAAAAAAAAACAAAAACAAAAACAAAACAACAAGAATACTTTAAAAAACCCAAAAAACATGTCTTTTCTTTCTGCTGCTGCTTCCTTCCATTTGATAAGGGTTACCTCCCTTTTCCCTTCCTCTCTAAATTTTACCTTTCTTCAAAGGCATATATATCACCTACCAAAGACCCACTGTGAAGCCTTAAATGAATCTCTTCATCCATCACCCATATGCCCTATGGCCAGGATTGGTTTCTCCTTCAGCTGTACTTTCATAAAACTTTATACTTACTTCCTTGAACGTATTTATTATAATCTCTCTTTTGGTATGGCTGTCTCTCAACTGTAATTTCTTGAGGGCAAAGTATTGTCTTCTTGGGTTTTATATTCTCCATAGCAACTAGCACAATGCCTTTAACGCTGTAACTGCTCAATAAATACATGCTGATTAAAATGAATACGCATAAATGCATGTAAATATTTAACACAGAAATACAAATGAGGTGTCTCATAAAAGGTTCTTTATACAAGGGTATACTTCAAATACTGCATAATTTTTGGTGGGAGACAAGGAAATTCAAGGAAGAACAGAACTACAAAATGAACGCTTTAGGATATTAACCCTATCTGGCATGAAATTGGCATTATCTCCTAACCCAATCCAAGAAACTTTAAATCTTTAGGGGGAAAAATAAGGAAGAATTTTCTTTCAAGAATTAACTTCCTCTGGATATTTGTCAGTTAAAATTCCTATTTGATAAAATACATAGGTAAGAATTAGTAAATAAAACTAGCTCTTTCTCCATAAAATAAATAGGTCTTTTTTTGATGTTAGGAAATCTAATTTTCCTGTTGCTTACCTGAGATTACTCCTAGGTTATGGCTGGAGGCAGGCTGCAGCTTGCACTTTATTTTAGGAGGACACCTGTTCCTTCCACCCTACCCAGTCCTACTAGGTGAAAAACTTCTCGGCCACCAAGAGAGCACAAACTTCCTGATCCTTAGATTGCAAGAAGGAATAACACATCAGCTTCCTTAGGATCACTAGGCAACCTACCTTGGTGTTTCTTCATAGGACCAATCAGAAACCACTAAGACTGACTTCAGCCAATCGGAGCTTACAAGGGGAGGCTCTTCCCCCTGCTATTAGGTTGCGATCCAGACAAACATCACCAAAAAAGAGGCAGGTTTAGGTTCAACATGACAGCTGATCAATCCAATGAGAGAGCCTTGGTGGAAGAGAGAAAAAGTGGGCTGTGCTCGCCACCCCCATTAAATCAGCCAATCAAAACGTCCAGTGAGCCAATTGCAAAAGGCTTCTTCTGTTGACCAATTTCACAGAGTAGCAGGTATGTTACTGTAGCAGTATATACTGGAGAAACAGGGTAAGAAGTGTTGGGATCCAGGGGCTGGGGATTTAGCTCAGTGGCAAAAGCGCCTGCCTGGCAAGTGCAAGGTCATGAGTTCGGTTCCTGGTACCAGAGAAAAACCAAAAAAAAAAAAAAAGAGGTGCTGGGATCCAAGCAGTTAAGAATAAACATTTTAAGGCCAGGCGTTGTGGTGCACGCCCATAATCCCAGCTCTAGAGAGGCTGAAGCAGGAGGATCACTGAGAGTTCGCTACCAGCCTGGACTACAAAGCGAGCTCAAGGCCAGCCTGAACTGCATAGTGAGACCCTGCCTCAAAAAAAAAAGAAAAGATTGTTTCTGACAGCCAGTTTAACCAGACTGTTCCAGAAAAACCTGATCTGAGCCAGTTTGTGGACGTTATTTGGTTTACATTAAACAGAATAGGTACATTTTTACCATTGAATACATACCATCATTCCCTAGGTAGTGCTTGTTACTGACAAGCACATGGCTAATGTAAATGTAATATGGCTGCTGAAACTACTATAGCAAATAGAAGTAGTCTTAAGCCTTCCTTTTCTACAGCAAACGAAAAAGGAATAAGTGGGGCTGGCATGCCCTAGGTCCTAGGTTTCTCATAAAAAATGCTGTGTCTTTCACACTCCCACAACAAAGTATGCCCAGTGGTTTTTTTTTTTTTGTACTGAGGATTGAACCCACACTTTTGCCCTGAGATACATCCCCAATGTGCCCTCCTCCTTTTATTTTATGTTTTAAAAAATTTGAGGCAGGATCTCACTAAGTCACTAAATTGCCCTGGCTGGGTTTGAACTTGAGATGCTCAGGCCTCAGCTTCTCAGAGTGCTAAGCAAAATTAATGCCTAAATGGGTATGGTGGTACACTCCTATAGTCCTAGCACTCTGGAGACTGAGGCAGGAAGATTGCCACAAGTTTGTGGCCAGTTTGGGTTACATAGAGAGTTCAAGGTGATCCTGAACTATATTATATAGTGAGACCCTGTCTCAAAAAAATATTAATACCTAGATACTTTCTGCTAATTAAATAAAAGTTAGAAGCCATAAAACAATCTCCAAACTGAGCAATTTTATTTTGTCTTTAAAAAACCAGTCATCTTTTTGTCCTGTAGTAAAAAAAGTTTAAAAAAGCCAAGTACCAATTTTTAAGTTGTACATTATATATGTCAATACAATATATCAATATATAGAAGAAAATTGTCTTAATAATAACACAATGACAAAAACAGCTAGTTATATGGTATAGTTTTAACAAAAGGAAAAAAGTGAATCCTACAAAGTTTTAATACCAAAATAAACATTACTTCAAAAAGTGGTTTGCATTATAGAATTTTAAGTTAATACAGATTTAAAGAAAGCATCCACTAACATGGAAGATAGATGGACATAGAGTAGATAAAGAACAGCATTTGTGCTACATTTGTGCTTTTGGGTTTGTTCAAAATTCTTAGATTTATCTTAGGTAAAATTAAGGACCACAATGTAATGGCCAAAAACTTCATTTTAGTATATGAACTGCTTAAGGCTGCATACAAATTTTCAGAGCTAGAGAAGAACACACCTTATAATAGTAATAGAGCACTTTTTTACTTTAAATAATGAGAACTTTCCAAATGTGCAGAAGAAAAAGTAATTTTACATATGTTCCTTTGGTTCACTGAACTTTCTCCTTTTGGGCACAGACTCTTGACTAGAAAAATCAAAGTGATGGAAGACCTGTTAAAAGAAAACAACTACTAAGAAAAGATTCTTGCCAGTTAAATATCTTTTATTTTGCATCTTTTTTATGTTTCTGAGGTTTCTCTCTGGTTTTAAAAATTATACCTAACATACATAGGCATAACTACTTTCTATTAAGACAGCATACTTGGGTTCTTTAAAAGTAAGGGTAAAACATTATTATTCAAATGTACATCTTTTGATGGCTGCTGAAAATATAGGAAGTGTGATGGAAAAACACAGTTTTAGAAAAACTTAGTACAGTAAAACATCATTGTTATTAATCCCTCTCAAAATATACTCCCCTCATTTTAAACACACTTATCCCATCCCATTAGTCTTTCCACTTTATGAAGCAGTCCTGGGAAGTCCTCTTTCAGAAGTGTCTTTAGCTGTGCTGCTGTGGCTGCCTCAATATTCTGAATTGATTCAAGAAGTTTACCTTTCAAGGTCATTTTGACTTTGGGGAAGATCCAGAAGTCACATGGTGTCAGATCTGATGAATAAGGTAGATAACATTTTTACAAGCAAAGTTTTCTGTCAGATGGGACCCAGGAGCAGCATTCACTGTAATTTTTATCACACCTTGTAGAGACACTCAAAAAACAGGACTTCTAGAACTGTTTCAGAAGGCATGAAGAATGATGTGATAAGTGTGTTTGAAGTAAAGGGGAGTATTTTGAGGAATTAATGACAGTGTGCCTTTTATTGTAATAAATTTTTTTGAGACAGAGTCTTGTCATGTAGTTTATGCAGGCCTTGAACTCACTACGTAGGCCAGACTGGCTTCAAAAAACTTGGTGACCTTCCTGCTTTTGCATTCCAAGTGCTGGGATTACAGGTGTGTGGCACCACGCCCAGCATTACTGTAATAAATATTTATTTTTAGACAGGGTCTCATTGTGTAGTTTAGGCTGGCCTTGAACTATGTAGCCCAGGCTGGCCTCGAACTCAAGGCAATCCTCCTGCCTCAGCCTCCCGAGTGCTGAGATTAGAAGTGTGTGCCACCATTCCCAGTTCCAGTTATATTTTTGAGATCACCATTTTCATATGTGATTTTTGAAAATGGTATATAGTTTTCAGTTCTTTAATTTTAACCAAGCAACAAAACTAATAAATCTAGTCTAACAATATAAGTATTTCAAAAATACATTATCTGACTTGATAAAATAGAGTTCCAAATATAAAACAACCATATAATTTAGGTCAGGAAAAGTTCATTCTCCTAACATACTAGGAGGAGATGCTATATTTTTAGCAAAAACGAAGTTTTGTTTTTGGTTCTACTTTAGTTTTTTTTTTTTTAAACTTTAGTTTTGTTTTCTAGAAAGCTTATATTAATTTTGGGTTCAATTTTAGTTCCATGTAAACAAAGTACTCTGAATATTCTTAAGTTATTTTCTCATTCTACTGACATTTTTCCTGACCCTGAGTTTTTTCTTTTATAAATTCCTCTAATAACTAAATTGTTCATGGAATGGGACAAGTATTTATTTATATGGAAAAAATTAATAAACCAACACATTTAATTTTATTTCAAAGTCAACCCATTTTTAAGAACAAAATATATCTGAGTAAGATTTGAATATCAGAGCTTTGAGATATATTCAGGGATAAGATCAAATTTATTTTTTTAATCTATAGCAGTGATATTCTGAGACTTGTCATTTTTCTCAACCTATACATTATTGTAAAACTTACTGTTTTCCCAGATGCAGGTTGAGTTCTCTTCCGAGTTTCTTTAGAAGATTTAATTGGTTGGTTTCCATGTGCCTCCACAAAGAGAGAATAATAATTAGTCGGTTATTTCTTTTTTTTTTTTGTACTGGGAATTGAACTCAGGACCTTATGCTTGCCAGGCAAGTGCTTGTGCCACTATATCCCCAGCCCTAGTTGGTTATTTCTTAAAGAATAGTCAACAGTTGATTTTTCAACCTTATATAGCTACATGTAGATTTTTAAAAATAGCTTTACTAAGACATAATTTGAACACTATATGATTTACTTATTTGGAAATACACAATTCAATGATTTTAAGTATATTCAGAGTTGTAGAACTTCTCACCTGTCAATCTTAGAACATTTTCATCGCCTCAGAAAGAAACCATAAATTCTTTAGCTGTGTCATTCTCATTTTCCTATCCTCCCACCAGCCTTAAGTTTTTCTCAATGGCCTTCCCAATTCTGAGCTTTACACAAATGGAATCATTTGATGTGGATTTTGGTTGCTGGCTTCTTTTAATTATCATAGTTTCAAGGTTCATACAAGTTATTGCAAGAACGGTACTTCACTCCTTTTTATGGCTGACTATTCCATTGTGTGGACATCTACAATTTGCTTATCCATTCATCTACTGATGGACATTGCAATTTTTCCTACCTTTTGACTATTGTGAGTAATGTTATCTGCGTGGTTATTAAAATGAAGATTAGGAGGGGAAATTATTAACTGTTATTATATTACTATTCTCTAAAAGGAGATACTGTATTTCTTACACTTGAAATGTCTCTTCCAACAGTAACTTCCTTAGTATATATACTGCTGAATATTTTCTTTTCTTTTCTTTCTTTTTTCTTTTTGAGACAGGGTTTCATTATGCAGTTCAGGCTATTCTGAACTCACTTTATACCCCAGGCTGGTCTCAAACTCACAGCAATCCTCCTACCCCGGCCTTTACAGTGCTGAAATTACAGGTGTGCACCACCATACCTGGCCTGAATATTTTCACTTCTTGACCTTTCCTAGCCATAACGCATTCATGATTCTCAAAATCAAGAGTACTCTGGCTGAGGGCTCATTTACAAAGCGTGAAATTTCAGAAATAAATTTGTGTTCCCAAAGCGTTTTTTAATCTTTTTTTTCCTCCCCAGTACTAGGGAATTGAATCTAGAGCACCACACTTAGCTACATCACCAGCGCTTTTATTAATTTTGAGACAAGATCTTGCTAAATTGTCCAGCTTGATCTTGAATTTGTGGTCCACCCACCTAGCCTCTCCTTGTAGCTAGGTTTACAAGTGTGTGTCATTGTATTATCTCCAAAACATCTTTATGTTACATTACAAGGAAATTTTCCTAGTTACTGTTTAAAATGTTTTCCTCTTCCTGTATGCTAGTAAAGAATACTCATCCTATATGGAAGCTGGCTAGAAAGAACCTTGTGTTGCTGGAAGTAGTAATTCTTGATATTTGTTTAGCACTTGCTTTTACCATCATACTAGTCTTAATGCTACTTTCTGCCAGTTCCAGCTTCCTAGAGTGTGAGGAGAAAAAGACACCCAAAATGGCACTGTAATTAACAACATTTGGGTGAATGTTTAACAACCAGCTCTGTGAGAGAAACATACCCTAAAGCATTTGTTGATTTCTGTCTTGTGGATATCATGTCCAATTTCAGTCTATCAACATGATGTTACTGAATGAAGATTTAAGAAGAAATATTCTAGTATATTACTGACAGAGTGAGTTATTTGTTCCTTAGTTTTGGATATAATATTTTACATTTTACAGAATGCTGTTTATTTACCCCTGAACCTTTAAGAGTAACTTAAAAGTCTAAAATCAAACATGAATTTCTATTTAGTATATCAAAAACTAAAACTGATTTTTCACTTAAGAACATGAAATTTACTTTATGCAAGATATATACAAAAGATTAATTTGTAATTTCTTATTAACAAGATAATCAATAAGACAGAACATTCTGGTATTCTAGGGAATTTTTCTGAGAATATAAATATTCTCTCTTCTCAAAGCTTTGTGGATTCCTCTAACGTACCTCCACTAAAATCATTCTTGTGCTTCTAGGTAGCCTATCCATGTTTTTATAGTTCCCCTATATCACTGCTTTTTTAAAAAAAGCTTATTGGTACATTTTAGATAATACATAATGATAACATTCATCACAGGAAATTTGTACCTGTACATGATTTATCTTGATTCTTTTTTTTTCCATGCCCCTCCCCTCCCTTCAACCTCTTCCCCTCCTTATTCACAAAGCTTTCTTTCCATTTTATCCTTCTTTTCTCATTTTTCTTTTCCCTTCCTTCCTCCCCCACAGTTCTTCTTCCCTTTTGAACAATTTCTTCCTATTTCACAATTTCTATTATACATTTTGTTCTTATTTACACTTTGTCTCTCACACCAAAGAGACAATGCAATATTTACACGTTTCCAATTTATTATTCCACTTAAGAATATGGTCTCAAGGTCCATCCATTTAGCTAGAAATGGTTCAAATTTATCCTTCTTTATGGCTGAATAGTACTCCAGTATATAAAAAACCTGTATCTTTTTTATCCATTCATCAGTTGATGGGCATTTGGGTTGTTTCCAAGATCTAGCTATTACAAACTGTGCCACTATAAACATGGGTGTGCACATATCTTTTTTTCTTTTTTTGGTACCAGGGATAGAACTCAGGACCTTACGCTTGGCAGGCAGGTGCTTGTGCCACTGAGCTATATCCCCAGCCCATGGGTGTGCACATATTGCTGTGGTATGATGCTTTTAATTCTTTTGGGAAGATACCAAGAAGGGGAATAGCTGGGTTGAATGGGACTTCTAGTCCTAGTTTTTTGAGGAATCTCCACACTGATTTCCACAGTGGTTGCACCAGTCTACTCTCCCACCAACAGCAGAAAAAGCTTCCTTTTTCTTCACAGCCCCACCAGCATTTGTTATTTGTTGATTTCTTGATAACAGCCATTCTCTCTGGGGTGAGATGGAATCTCAGAATTGTTTTAATCTCCAAATGACCAGTGATGTTGAACACTTTTTTGTATATTTATTTGCCATTTCTACTTCATCTGAGAAGTGTGTATTCATCCCAGATATCCATTTTTGGATTGGGTCTTTAAATGTGGAGGGATCTGATTTTTTTTTTTTGAGTTCTTTATATATTCTAGATATTAGTCCTTTGAAGAACAGCTGGCAAAAATTTTTTCCCACTCTGTGGGTTGTCTCTTCACTCTGTTGATTTCTTTTTCTGTACAAAAGCTTTTTAGTAAGCTGTTGATTCATTGCTTGTTTACTTTTGATTTCCAGACTTTTAACCAAGATTAGGAACTATTTGTTAACCAGATTATATCCTCAGCACCTATTAAAGCACTTAATAGGTATTTAATAAATATTGGTTCAATAAATGAAGTAGTAAAATAAACTAAATATGGGGTGAAATTACAAGGTTATAATGGAAAACAAACCTAAGCAATATTTACCATTTTATTCTGAAAGATTTTTCCACTTCGTGTTTTGCTTTCAGATACATCAAGTTCAGATGTTTTATTAACTAACTGTTCAACCTAGAAGAGAAAATAACTACATAAAACCATTTAACAAAACTTTTTCACAATATAATAAATGGGGTTTAAAAATTAAATCACATAACTGGATGAGGTGGCACATCCCTGTTGTCCGAGCACTCAGGAGGCTGAGGCAGGAAGATCACTGTGACTTCGAGGCCAGCCCTAGGCTATGTAATGAACTAGCGTGAACTACACAGCAAGTTCTTGTCTCAAAACCAAGCATTAAATCACACAAATTTAGGATCTTCTTATATTAAGTTAATGAAAACCAGTAATTTTGAGTTGGTTCTCAAAAAAGGGCAAAAGTAAAGATACCGAAACACACTGACACAGCTGACTACTCTCTGAACCGAGACACAAATGATCACCAGGAATTACCCTTCTAGAAGATATGAACACCAGCTCACTCCCATTTGAGAAAGGGGCTGGGCAGAGGAATGTGGTCAATCAATCATCAATTCCATTATTTCCAGGTTCGCATTCTTTGTTATTTCAATAATTTTACTGTGTTGTACACGTAAAAGAAAAACATATTCTGCTCCACCACAATAAAAATGTATTATAAACCATATTTGTAAATACAAAGCAGTTGGAATAAGTAATTGTGTAAGATTCTACTGAAGCCTGAAATTCTGAGATTCTATGAATAGTATTTAGGTTTATTACTAAATAAATTTGCAGTAATACGCTCAAAGCTTGTCAACATAGCCAGCCAGTTTTTGTTAATAATTAATATTCTAAATACTTAATTTTATTCTAAAAGATCTAGAATAAAAAAATCTGAAAATTAAATAATCGCATAAATGTCTTAGAAAAAAGTTAAAAGTCAGATGGAGCTATCAAGTTTATACCTGAAAATGAGAAATTGAAAGATTTGGACTTTCTTTACACCTCATAATTTCATCTTCCTCCATAATTACATTTGGTTCTGTGAAAAAAAAGAAACAGTTAAAATGATGTAAAATTGAATTGGTAATTAATCTATATATATATTTTTGTCTTTTTGAGACAGGGTCTCACTCTGCAGTTCAGGCTAGCCTTGAACTCACTTTGTAGCCCAGGCTGGCCTCAAACTCACAGTAATCCTCCTGCCTCAGCCTCCCGGGTACTGGGATTACAGGCGTGCGCCACCACACCCAGCTTAATGTATATTTTTGTTAATGTTTTTACCTCCAGTTTTAGAAGCTCCAGGGTATTTTTTCTGTTCTTCCATTTTAGTTTCAAAGTCAAAATCATCCTACATAATTAGGTTAAGAAAAAAATGGACACATTTAAAAAAATCAAGGGTAGAAGTATTTATGAATGAATTTATTTTATGTGAAATTTAAATATAAAACTACAACTATTTTATGCTTGCTAGACTTAAAAGTGGTCCTAGAATTACTATCACAACATAACTTATTTATTCAAATAAAATATAATTTATTATTTTTCCCTAACTAACTAGTGTTAGTTTAAGGACAAATAATAAAAATATTCAACTTTTTCTGAAATGCATGACAATCATAAGAATCTTTAGATTTTACTGCTGTCTGATGGCACTGTATTGACATGTTCATACAACAAACTACCATTTCTTTATTTTTTTGTTTATTTTTGAGACAGGGTCTCACTATATAGCTCAGGCTGACCTTCAATTCACTATGTAGCCTAGGGTGGCCTCTAATTCACACCTGGCTACCACTGCTTTATCACTATTTTTTGGGAGTGGTGAGGATCAAACCCTGGGCCTTGTGCATTTTGGGCAAGTGCTCTGTCACTGAGATACATCCTCCACCCATAAGCTACCACTTTTATAGTTCTGGAATTTCTGTGTGTTAGCATACACTCTGGCCATGCTGCACCTCTTATCAGGAAGTTAATGATGGATAGGCTCAGTCAGAAATAGCAATTTAAAATCTCAATTATAATTTATCATTGCCTTTGTGACATACTTGTATGTGAAAGAAACTCCAATAATGAATGCTACAAGCCAGGTGTGGTGGTGCATGTCTAATCCCAGCACTTGAGAGGCTGATGCAGGAGGATCACTGTGAGTTCGAGGCCAGCCTGGGCTACATAGTAAGACTCTGTCTCAAAAAAAAAAAAAAAAAGAATCCTGCAAAACCCCAGCTATATTTGTTTATAAAGTAATGCTAGGCTTTAGATTTTACAAAAGTTTTCTTCTCTGACTGAATTGAATATTGAATTTTCTATTTGTAAAACTGACTATTTGTAAAACAGAGCCTGGTTCAGAATAGTGAACCTCTGCATATACACTATCAAATTTAGAATAAAACGAAACAAGAGAAAACAAAAAAAGTGAGATTAAAGATATAAAATGTTAAAGATTAAAATAATGAAAGATTAAAACAATGATGACTTTCACATTTGCTGGGAATGAGGGAACCAAAAATACTCTTTTCTACTTCTGTTCACCCATTTTCTAATCAGTAATGAGACTGGGAATGAAATCTAAGTGCTAGACACAGGAGGACTATAAACTGAGTAATATGTTTTTCCTGCCTTCCAGAAACTTCCAGGCTGCTTTAAGGAAGTGACTTTCCAGGCCCTGAAGAAATTCATGCACAGGCTGTACAAGCATTTAGTTGGGGTAGTATATAACAGATTCCATCATTAGTTGGGGAACTGTACTAGTCCAGTGGTATTCAAATTATGTCTGACCGTCTTTTGGGTTTCTTCAGGGCCCACTATGAGGGTAGGTAAGATAGTAAGTGGCTAGGACTCTAGGACCATTCCTTGCTTCAGTAACAATAGTTGTGCTTTTAAATTCTGAGTATAATATTGTTTGAACCAAAGTAAAAAAATTTTAAAAATATAGGCTTAGACTTTCTTTAAGGTCCTTTCCAACCTTGAGTTTATGATTAGAATGCAGTATTTACATAAATATCAACCAGAACTATTAAAGTCCTCAGAATTAAATCAGGTACTTGTTACTATGGTGTTTTATAACTCTTAAAATACACTCACACTTATATAAAGCTCCTGTTCATCTTCTGAGTCATCTTTGTCCACCAGGATTTTCTGAAGTGGTGTTTTTAATCGTTTTGGTAATAGTATAGATGAATCAACATTTTCCATTCGTTCTTTCTCAGTGGTCACTTTTACTCTGAAGGTATGAAAAGGTGTTGGAACTTCTCCCACATTTAAGTACATAGGCTCCCCTTCAAATGTGACTCCTTCACAATCACCATCCTTAAAACCAGGAGGCTGGTAATCTGGGGGTGTAACTGCAAAAAAAGCAGGTATCAACTGTGCTGTTTTTAAAACTGAAGGAACTATTATAAAAACACAAGCAGACTAAATTTCAGACGATAAAAGTACATAAATTGAAAAATAGGAATCTCCCTCCTCCCACCTCCAAGTCCCCATTTTATTTTATTTTTTATTTTTTATTTTTTTTGGTTTTTTTCCAGTACCGGGAATTGAACTCATGACCTTGCGCTTGCCAGCAGGCGCTGTGCCACTGAGCTAAATCCCCAGCCCCTCCCCATTTTATTAATAAAGGTAACCTTTGTTTTTCTTCACTGGTTGGGTGACCTTGAGCAAATTATTATTTTTGTTATTGTTTTTGAGACAGGGTGTCAACACCTAGCTCCAGCAAATTATTTATTATCCCTGTCGAATAGGGAAAATAATAGTATTTATAGTCTGAGGTTTATTGTGACTGCAAGTTGAATTAAATGGTAAAATGTTCAGAACAAAACTGGTGGCCAGGTGTGGTGGTGCACCCCTATAATCCAAGCCCTTGGGAGGCTGAAGCAGCAGGATTATTTTGAGTTTGAGGCCAGCCTGGAGTACAACGGTAAGTTCAAGGCCAGTTTGAACGATATAGTAAGACCCTGTCTCAAAACAAAACAAAGCAAAGTAAAACATTTACTTAATCCCTAGTGAAGGACACTTAACCACCCATTATAGCCAAT